TGCTACACGAAAAACAAAATAATTCTCATCGTTTTATGTTAGAACAATAACCATCTGATCTTTGCATTGTTGATCCGGTCGATATAAAGGGGTAGAATTCACCCACGTGACTAATCAAAGTGATCTATGCCAAGGGCCATCCGTTTGTAGTACTCTCGAGACGACCATAGACAATGGACACAAATTGGAATGAAGTGCTGAAACTGTGGCAATTTGTTTCCTATCTATAGCGCATGCATATTATATAATATATTCCATTTCTTATCAACAATTGTGGGATTGATAATTCCCCTTAGTTAACCGCCGCGCCGTTCCGGGATTATCACCTCACGGCTCACCTGCGGTGTTTCGTATGAGCATTGAGCATGTTCTATCCATTTACCTATATATCATTCAAAGGCTTGCAAACTCGCTTGCAAATCATTGCAAATAATTAAGTCAAGTAAATCGTTGTGTTTGAAGTTACAAGTTAATATGGAAAAAATATTAACTTAGCTTAGAAATAGTTAGTCTACTTTTTTAATCAGTACGTAGATCATGTACAGAGCATTTTGTGTCCATATATTATGTTATCAAAAACCATAACAGAAATTATGTATTGTTATAATAATGTATTGTAATATGTAATTAAAAACATAAAATCCATCCCGGATATAAAAATATAAGACAGAAAAAAAAATAAATTCGATATTAGGTTATTATGAAAAGTTGTTTCGTCAAAAATCAATAGACTGTTTATGTATCAAGAATTACAACTTAATGCCTGTAATACAGGCTCTGTATGCATATTATAAAAAGACTATCAAGCTGGTCACACACTACGGTTTTAATTGTCCGTGTACGTTGTACGGTGTAGTTCRACATTTTTAGTTCGTACACCGATGAACGTCACACACTATCCATTTTATATCTTTGTACGATGTTCGAACAATACGGACCGTTTTTTTAAAAATGACCGAATCGACCACAAACTATTAACATTATTATCAACGTACTAGTCGCACTTAACGTACTTAACTAAGTTGTATTTGATACTAAATAAACCAAATTTATATTGTATAATAATTATTATTATCAGTACAAAAATAACATCTTGAAAATAAWAATATTGGAGTTATTTATATATGCTATTTATAGTTTTTAAAACTGTACGGTTTTAGTTCGAACACCGAACACCGAACATGGCACACACCTTCGGTTTTGTTCATTTCGAACATCGAACACGGACAAAAAATCAAACTCCTCAGTTTTCATTCCGTCTCTGTGTACCGTGTTTTTCATCCGTTTTATTGCCCACACACTATCGTTGTACGAACTACACCGTACATCGTTCACGGACAAATAAAACCGTAGTGTGTGACCAGCTTCACGACTGAGAATCGTGTATATGCCATAGGCGTAAAAAATTACAAATATTTTCAATATTTAAATCAGGATTTTTATTTTATTTTTCACTTAATATATAGATTATTATCTGTTTTTATATTTAATATTTAAATTTTTCATAATTTATTATTTTTAATTTTCATTGTAAATTTGAGTTATCAATTTATCATCATGTTTAAACTATGTATATTTTTTCTATGTACAGTAGAAACATTTTCTATTATTCAAGTTTTAAATGTAAAACCGTGTATATTATATTATAAATTCAGTAATTTATTAATCTCAAACCATTTAAGTCAGAAATGTCATAACACAATATTTAATCTTAACTTTGTAGATTATTTTTAAGACAACTGAAAATAACTAATAAGCTATGTTACTTCAACAGTCGATTAAACTGGTCAAGCTAAACCTTATAATATTATAGTAATAATATTAATTATTACTATCCAGTGCTCGTGTCGTAACCACATCGTGTCTATAATAATATTATTATTACCAATAATTAGCAGTGCGTTCTACCATATAGCTATTCGTCATAAATTCATCATCATCACCATCGCCGTCGTTATCTGGGGGCGCGTGAAGAAATCGACGGTGTCGGTTTACTTTCGTTGCGCCGTCGCGTATTACCTATATTATTACATTATTATGAATTACTATCGCGAGTGCGATACACTATATCGTCTGCCTCGAAAGTGTGTATGAAAAAATCATAAAACCGTGGTTTACGATTTGCATACAACGATTATCGCGATGATATAATGCGTTTAATGTTTTAATTATCACGACACCACCGACCGTAGTGTGTCGGTGCCACGTTGTTACGTGGTTTTACTCAACGGTGCCAACGCATATAAATAACAATTATAATTGTTATAATATAACGTACATGATGAAGTGTGTGTGTATGTGTGTGTGTGTATACGAGTATACATAATATATATTATATATATATATAATATTGTAATGTAACACGTGAACCACTCGACCGGCCGCCCTGTAGTTTTCCGGAGACCGTTTTTCCCGTGTGCAGCTTGCTGTTCCGATCATTGTGTTCGAGTCGTTATAATAACAATAACAACAATAATATCGTTCTCGGCGGACAAAGGCCCCCTCCTCGTCACCTAACCCGTTTCTACCTACAGGATAAGGTTAGGCGTCGTCAGCGTGAATTGTAATTATTATGATTGTTCGCTGAAAGTCGGTCGAAAGACTTTTCGCGTGAAGATAAAAATAAAAATATAGGTAGGCGAAACACAATGCGACTTAGTGACTRCTGATGTGAAGAGGGATAATATGTATTAAAATATTACATGTTGTTTGTACATCATCTCATCGTTTATTCACCGAAAACCGTATTTTAAAATGACATTTTCTCTTATTTATATGTGCATTTATTCATAAGTCAACGTATTGACGGAAAACGAGTATAATGGATTGGTTAGGTTGTATGGCATTTCCGATTTTATCTCCTGTTTTTTTTCTATTTTTACATACGGTCCAATCGTTACTTTACATTTGTTATCGCTCAACCATCGAGCCGTATAAGATGTATCTCTCCGCAGAGGTGACTTTACGCCAGCGGTCTTCAAAATTCTATATTCATTATCGATATTTCTCTGTATATTGATAATATTTTACGTGTATGTAGTATGTACCTAGTATGTCATACAATATATTTATGGAAAAAAAAAAATGCTTCTTGTAATATTTGAAATTGGTGTTTCATTACGCATATAAATATTGGCATGGAAGGCTTTAGTGTAATATAACGGTGTCGAATTTTTGTTGTATTTTATGTGTTATGACGACTACGCACGTTTATTATARACGTTATATTAACTTATTTTAAACTATTGTTAAAAAGTTAAATTTTACAGTTTAAACTTATCGTAAAAATAAATAAAAGAATGTTGACAATTAAGGATTTCTACTCTCTAGAAAATTGTCTTATTTTGTTCGTGTTTATTTATGTATAAAACTTAATTAACCTTATAATATTGTTTATTATTATATTAATTACCTTTTTTTTTTAAAGTTTTGTAACGGTACATTAAAGATGACCTAGTTCAGTCGAGAGGGGTGGTAGGACCTTCCGTTGTTTGAGTGATAAGTTTTATACGTGGTGATAACAAACACAATGATATATTGAACTATTGAAGTAATTTTTACTTCTCTGTTAACTGCCATTTCACTACACTTTCGGAAGTTGCCCCGACGATCATCGCGTGTACACAAATTATATTTAATTATTATTTACGGGATTTGTAGTCCTTTGTTGCATCATAGGTAACTTTGTACATAAAACGAAACGTATAGAGTTCAGCAGCGTAATTATACGTGATCCTCTCCTCTTCGCGACGATTCGCCGTCTTYCGAATTACGGTATTTTTTTAAACTCTATGGCAGATGTACCCTTAGTGACGTTTCAGTAACGTTGATGTGACTCACTATTCCGTTGCTATTGCGTGGTAATATTATTGCTTAAATTGTCATTCAAAAAAGAACTGTACGTAAAATTTTTGGAAAGACTCAACACAATAGGCCTCCGTATTAGTGCTGATTTTTTCTACCGGTTTAAACAATTTCCGATACCGAAAAGAATGTTTTACAACATGAAACCTTATTAAAGAAATGTAAAAAAAAAAAATTAAATTGTATAGTAATCACRGATGTTGTCTAAATTATTATAAAATCGTCCGGCAAAAGGCAAATAATATTTACGTTTCTTTTAAAGACTAAACAAACGAAATGTCTAATCATCTTCGTACAACTATTACTTAAATATAAATAATATAATATACCTACGTCACCCATGATTGCGCAATACCACAAACATAACCAAATATAGGTAGGCTAAATCGCAGCGGCCCAACGTTTTTTTTTTTCATACAGTTCAGCAGCCGTGGCGTGTCGAAACCGATTTCCCAATACCGTTCACAGCAGAGCCGTCAAGAGTTAGCTAAGATATGTTACCCTCCGTATCAAATTTTCGCGTATGTGACGCAATTCAATACGTCCACAAACATAACGTGTGTGTGTCCGGAGTCCGGCTGAGCGTTTTTTTGTAATTATTTTGGGTATTCGGCGGGGTGAGTATACCAACGTGSTATTGTAGCTAGGTGATAGGTTGTTTTGTAGATACGTTATTCCGCCAGAGCGCTTTCACTTTTATTTTCTCTCTGTTCGTAACTACGGAAAATTATTACTATAATGGCGTGGCGAAAGACGAGGAAAACCTCGTTCGAAATTGGGCGGCCTACAGAGGAATATGGTTAAAAAAAAAAAACTAATAAAATAAGCGTCACATGCGTGATTGTTCGAAAAGTATGCTGCATGCATCGTATTTAATATTATGTTATATTATTATTAGGTTTTTCTTGTATATATTTACCTCAGATATAGATAATAGGTACGCCAGCTATTGTATATCTGTGTCCTCGTGACGCCCTACGCTTTTTTTAAAATTATCCATATACATTGCTSTCTTGTGTGTAATTTTGTACGCAACTAAAATGTTTAGGTTTAGATTTTTATTCAGTTTATTATCAGTGAAACGTGTACAATAAAGAAGTTGTGTTTTTAATTCGTGTATGCTTTGTTTTTTACAGGGCAGTGATGCGGCTACAAATAGCAGTTCCACAGGAGGAGGAGTTGGAAGTGGTGGTGGTGGAGCAGGTGGAGGCAGTGGTGCCTCCACGGTGACAAGTACACGTGGATCGTCTCGCAGCCGTTCATCGGAAGAGCCGCACATCGGCAAGTACAAACTGCTCAAAACCATCGGAAAAGGAAATTTCGCCAAAGTCAAACTAGCCAAACATGTACCTACCGGGAAGGAGGTAAATGTCATTTTTGTTAATGTATGATATTGTTAGGTCAGTCAACTGGAAATGTAATAATTATCTGTTTGTAGGTCGCGATTAAAATCATTGATAAAACACAATTATTACCAGGAAGCTTACAAAAAGTACGTTATTATTGACATTTATTAATTTAAATAATTTTATAATATTGTCACTTATTTTTATCGTATTGTAATTTTTGCAGCTTTTTAGAGAAGTTAGAATAATGAAAATGTTGGACCATCCGAATATAGGTAAGTAATGTAATTGCCAATAAGAAATATTGCCAACTCTAACTATATATTCTTAAGTCACTTACATTTAATAATCATTGTTTTTGCTGTTATTTTTAGTTAAATTATTACAAGTTATAGAAACTGAAAAAACTCTATATTTAGTCATGGAATATGCTAGTGGAGGTGAAGTATTTGACTACTTGGTATTACATGGGCGCATGAGAGAAAAAGAAGCAAGAGCCAAATTTAGACAAGTATGTACCATAGTAAAACAGTTAAAATAAAAATTCACGTTAAAAATATCATATGTTTTTTTTTTAGATTGTTTCAGCAGTCCAATACTGCCATCAAAAAAGAATCATACACAGAGATTTAAAGGTAACAAAATCATGAACTGTAATAAATACCTTTTATATACTTGAAGTAGTACCTAATTAAACTTTTTTTTTAGGCTGAAAACTTATTACTGGATAGTGAAATGAACATAAAAATAGCAGATTTTGGGTTTAGTAACGAGTTCACACCTGGTGGTAAACTTTATACATTTTGTGGTAGTCCTCCATATGCTGCACCTGAATTATTCCAAGGTAAGATGGTTTATTATATATTTTATTTTTTATAAAAATCCCTCATTTTAAAACTTTTTCAGGAAAGCGTTATGATGGACCAGAAGTAGATGTTTGGTCATTAGGAGTTATTCTGTATACTTTGGTTAGCGGTTCTCTGCCTTTTGATGGTTCTACCCTAAGAGAGCTAAGAGAAAGAGTATTGCGTGGCAAATATAGAATACCGTTTTACATGTCAACTGATTGTGAAAATTTATTGAAAAAATTCCTTGTTTTAAATCCACTTAAAAGAGCATCATTAGAGGTAAGATAAAAATAAAGATTAAAACAATATTCTTCAAATCACCCTTAACTATTGTTTATTATTCTAAAAAATGTATTATAGGTTATTATGAAAGACAAATGGATGAACTTGGGTTGCGAGGACGATGAATTAAAACCTTATGTAGAACCAGAACCAGATTTCAAAGAACCAAAACGAATAGGTATGCTTAGTTCAATAGTCAATGCCTAATCAGCTGTTAAATTTTAACTATTTAACTGTTTAATGTGTCTTTGCCTTGTGTATATTTAATTCCTTCACTTGTATTGTTTTAGTCTGTCGAGTTACAGAAATATTAGTTGGCATGGGTTATAGTCGTGCAGAAATAGAAGAGAGTTTATCTCAAGCTAAATATGATGACATATTTGCCACTTATTTGTTACTAGGAAGAAAATCTAACGATGTGAGTATTCATGTTAGAATACTCAAGTAATGAAGTTCAATTGTATTAATTATTAATTTTATTCTTGTCCCATATAGCCTGAAAGTGATGGTTCTCGATCTGGTAGTTCATTATCATTGAGAGGAATCACAGGACCAAATCCTGGCGTGAATAACACCAACAATGTAGCGGCCGTGAACAATACTAATCAATCACCATCACATAGAGGTGTGCATAGATCAATATCTGCTACMAATTCCAAACCTAGTAGAAGAGCTTCATCTGGTGGTGAGACTTCTGCTTTGACCACAAACCATCCAAATTCTAGCAATGTTCCTGCTACCAATAATACGCCAAATAATCAACAAACAACCCATAACTCTACAAATAAAACAAGTAATAGTTGAGTATCGTTAAGGTTTTAAATATTTGAGTTCATAAATAAATGACATTATTGTTTGAAATATAGTTGCATTGTCTCAAACAAGTTAATGTTGTCCTTAATAATTATTGCATCTGATAAATAAGTCTTCTTAGGTACCACCAATTCAACCAATCACAATCACAATGTGGCCATTCCAAGTACCAATTTCAAGCGTCAAAATACTATTGACGCGGCCAGCATCAAGGAAAACACTGCTCGACTAAATTCTAGACCTGAAAATATGATAGGCATGTCTAATTGTATTTATATTATTGATTAGATTTTTGTTATACTTCACTTTAACATCAAGCAAGCAATTCTTATTCTAATTGTTAATTGCTTTCTTAGGAACAAAACAACGGTCAATGGCTCCTGGAGGGTCAGTGGGTAGAAGGAGTACAATCAGTTATGATGCCAAAGCAGCTGTATCAACTCCTCCTGTATTGGATCCAGCAAGGTATGTCTTTGACAAAGATCATACTTTAAATAAACACTCCTATAATAATAATAATAATTATGTTATGTAAAATAACTTTTTGTTTATATTTTCTTGTTTCTCCTTAACACTGATTAATCTTCTGTTATTACAATATAAACATTAATTGTTCATTCATTTTATTCTATTCATTATTATTGGTGGTAAGATGATAATTTTGAATTAATGTTTGCAATGCATTGGTAATCGGGTTTAGTGCGTTGGCTGTACCTAATTCTGGTTCTGGATGTGGAGATACACGATCCAAAGGTCACGTCAAATCTGCTTCTGTGTCTAGTGCCACAGAACATACCACAGAACCTCCTGCCCACCCGAGGTATTCCTCCCGTTCATAATTTTATAACTGTGGCTAAATTGTTAWACCGTCTTTTAGATCGTATCAAATGCATGTTGTGTATTATACGCATTTTAAACATTTGAAAACTCTTGAACATATTGTTCCTCAAAAATACTATTTGTGATTACAGTTTTTCTTCTCWAAATTCATTTAGTAAAATAAAATATTTTCTGTGCTGCTTCCTATTACTTTGGGATAGTTCTAAATTGTGCAGAATGTACATTTTATGAAAATATTGCTCCTAAACTTAAATATTTGTGCATGCACTTTTGTTGTTCATACATCAATATAATTTAATTGCTAACTATTATTAACTTTTAAAATTCTAACTAATTATGGATGTATAAATGGTTATTTAATTTAATAATAATTTCCAATTGTATAATACTAATATATTAAACATTATAAAGAAGCTTCTACAACTATTAATGATTTAGTTAGGTTTGCATGATTTTGTATTATTGTTGTACTACTACTAAACTTCATATAGTGGGAAGAAACTGGCAATTTTACTATGAAAAGTGTTAGTAATTTACAGCTTCTTATATAATGACATTTTTTGAATGAAACTATTGCATAAAAATATTTGACTTGATAACTGATATTATTATTAAAAAACTGAAAATTTCTATAGTTAAAAAATACAATATTAGATATTAAAATAAACTGTTGTCTTGTTAGTAATCTATGTATATATTTGGTACAAACAGACAATAGATTTATGTTAACACATTTAAAATATGTTTAACCATGAAAATTCAATTTATTTTAAATTAATGGCACTCATCATCTAACTTATCATCAGTTTTTTAGTTTTACTGTCTTGTCAAAATCTGTATGGTTTTAGCTTTCCYGCTCGTAATTATGTGGTTGTGTATGTATGCGTACTCATATGTTTAATGGGAACATTTTTATTTTATAATGATTTTAATGTACTTATTATTATTATATAGGGGTGTTACAATATCACCTGCATCACCAGCAGTCAATAGTCGACAGCCATTCCCAAGGAATGTGCCTAGTCGCCAGACTTTCCATTCAGGCCAAAACAGACATAGAGGTTATACTGGCGTTGGACCTACTAACAATACTGGTAGTCCACATGATCCATCCGTGCAAAGGCCATCATTCTTTTCAAAAATATCATCTAAGTTTGTTAAACGGTAAGTGTATAATTATATTCATGTTGAAAATTCATTGTTCCTAAAATTATAATTTTTATTTGATAAAATCCTATAAATTCATGATCTTATGATTAAACATTTTCCATATATTTCTAAAAAGGGAAACATAGGTCCCAGAAATAATTATTTTAAAATTTAATTTAAGTGATTTTTAAATATTCAATTTAATTTTGTAAGGCCTATGTAACAAGTGAGGTGGTTAAAATCAGTTTAACCTATTTTAAATTATTAATGTTGTAAACTCTATTTTTAATGCTTGCATTATARTTATATAACTCTAAAAATTATTCTGTATACTTTTAATCCAATTTAACATCCCTCCACTTTTCCAATTTAAAATTAAATTGCAATGAAAAAACCACTAATTATGTACTTACTAACAGTGATTGCATTTTACTCGCAGAGGCCTTACTTGTGAAAGCTTGTCTTAATTATTATTATAATATTTTTTTTAAGTTTATTTAGCTTATTTAGGACAATTTTGTGTGCCATATATCATTCAATAATTAAATAATTTTAATGATTTGAATATATACATGTATTATTAGCGAACCTTGMATAATTGTCTCAATAAAGGCAGCGCTCAAAAACAATTTTTATTATTTAATTTTAACACATAATAATCTATTGGCTAGCTTTCACATAGATACGGTCCCTGCACAGATTATTATTATTAAATTATGTTTCTGTCATTTTTTTTCCATCTTGTGATCGATGCTTTTTTTTTGTGTATGTGTGCAGGACCACTCCCCATTAATATGAAACAAAAATACCAAATAAAAAATCATACATCCATATCCATTCATATATCACACGCATGCTACCACTAAAATTATGAAGAAGACAAGCAAAAATGGGGCAGGCGGGCACTTAACTATTTTGAGACAATTATGCTGGGATGCCGCTACTCGCCGTTGACATGCTTAGATCTGAAAGTTTTAAAGTTATATATTTATGTATAAATATATGTATGTGTGTGTGTGCGTGTTTGTGTATTTCTATATGGATACATATTAATAATGTTCCAAATGACTATAATCAACAGTTAAATTTTATCCAGTTATATCAATAATAACTTATACTCTCTCATTTAAACCTCATAATTTATGTTGATTGCATTTTGTAATATTAATTTTATTTTATTTTTAATTTAACTGCATAAGACATAACTTGTCATTGTGTTTTATATTTTATTATTACTAGATAGTATATGTATTACTTATCTCTACGACTCTAAATTGAAATTAAACTACTTATATACATAAATGTATATATATTATAATTCCAATAACAATTTTTTTTCCATGTATTTTCTAGTCCCCCGAAAAACTGTTGCATAATTATGTATTTTATTATTTTAATCGTTTTCTGGCCTATATTTTATTACTGTATACTACTATGATACATATATTATTATTATTATTACTATTATTACTATTAGTTAAAATTATTCCTTAGTGTACAAACATTATTTTTAAGCCAATGTTATTGTCTTTGGATTTGTAATAAATTGTTTGATATGTGGCATACATTTATTTTTTTAAGTTCTCTCCAGAAAAATTTTGTACTGAGTATGTTTTGCCCTAAATCAAATATGTATATAATCATAACATATTATGTGTAAACCTGCAAATTTTTTTTTGCCTTTATAAATTGGTATTGTAGGTCCAAAATGCATAGAAAAATAGAAAATCCATTACCTTTTAAATATTAACATTTATGTTTGTTTACKATGGTATGAAATCAGACTAGACTTTATACTAATAGATGAACTTTCTCAATATTGCATACATTTTCAGCTGTGATAGAATACTACACAGTTTTGCARCCGACATTGCTGCCAGTCATGCCCGACTTATTGCGCAAATTTATAAAAGCAWTATTTAGTATCATCATTGATTTTATAATATACAGATAAACCATACGACTGTTTATTTGGAAACCCAATTAATAGTAAAGCAAAACAGYACCCATCCTTTGTTTATCCCTCTTGAATGCAATCAAACTTGGCAACGTCTTATGGCCGAGTGCAATTAGCCGCTGCCACTATTAACAATAAAATGGCTTATCTGTATATTTTAAAATCAATGGTATTTTATATTTCACCATTCTAATGAGCATGTGCTTTGTAATACGGTAACTTCCAAACAGCGCATCCATATCTGCGAGAACTAGTATAATATTCCATCTATTAGTATAAAGTTCATTGATAGTTACATATTATATCCTGTYATGGTATGACAAAAATGAGTAGTAAAAATCCTTTGGATGGATCATTCATTTGTATAATGTATGCAGTATGCAGTTAAATTATTATCAGGAATTATGAGTTAAAACGGCATTTCACATTTATTATTTATTTATTTTATTTTATCATTATTTTATGTTTATGTTTTTATTTTGCTTATGTTTTTATTTTGTTTATTTTATTAGTTTTGTTTATATTTTATTTCAGGCCAATGGATCAAAATCTACCCAAAAATAATATTGTTAGGTATGTAAAATCAAAACAAATTTTGCCTGACTAGGCTAGTTCAATCAATTACTAACATAATGTTTATTGTTAATACTTTGCTAACTAAAACAAAAAGCAATTAATAATTGTAATTTTATTCGGAACTTTTAATTAACATTTTTATTATATCACAAGGTATACATTATATTGGTTATAACCTTGGTTTATCTAAGATAAAAACAAAATTATTAAGGTATCCAAAATCTGTTTGAATTAATTTTTATTTTATCTTTATTTGATTTTAATAGATTTTACTAAATTTAGTTTTTTACTCTATTTGTGATTATTTAAATCTTAATTATTCATATACACCGGTGTCTGTATGCCTGATAAGTCATAATATATAGATTTTATTCAAGAAGTGGATTCATTTAAGCATTTCCTACTGCATCCACTTTTTACAAAAAAGTCAGTATGTCAAAGATAATGTTTTGTACACATTCAATTTTTAACATTGATAGCTAAACTGTTCAAATAAATAATAATTTAACAAACCATCAATATTGAAATTATTCACTCATGGTTGTGTTTTTGTATTTTGTTTTTGTATTTGTATTTGTATTTTTTTTTTTTTAGAAAAATCTTACGTGTCATGCAATGACTAAAAATTCAACATTTTATTAGTTTATTTTTACTTCTTATATTTTGATAGTTGAAGAAGTGCTTTTACATTTAATTGTTAGATTTTCTAAAAATTACTTATCCTAGAACAAACTTTTTGTGAATTAAAAAAAATTGTAATATCCATGAGTGACCTCATAAAATAAATGATGGATTATAATGGGATGTTTTAAATTATTATATATTTTTACTTAAAACTGAAAACTCAATTGTTATTACCTAAGATTAAAAAATAAATAATAATCATGATTATTAATGGATGATATGTCGATATGTTGATATTATATTATTATATTTCATTAGCAGCCTATCCTAAGTTTTAATGGTTTTTAATTATATATATATGCAAATTTTAATTGATACTAGAAGCAAACTAAAATAAAAGTAAAACATTAGAATTTTATTCGAAGAACTTTATTTGATCATATTTCCTTGGTTAACGGCGTTAACGTATTTCATCAAATAATATAGGAATGTGATAGGTATATGACATCTTTTGGATACTCAATTTTACACTAACAGAATATTAATGTGATATTATAATATGAATATTAAAACAAAATTTATTTAAAATAACTTATGCCAAAAAATTCAGCAACGGTCTTATAAATTTGCTCTGTTGGAAGGCATGTTATACTAAATACACAGCATCATAATTAGTTCAAAAGTTAAAAGTTGTATTTGAGGTTTAATAATATTAGTTAAATTAGGTGATTACAAATCTTGAAAGATGTACATTCTTGTTTGAAGATATAAATACACAATTAGATGCTGATATTATACAAACCATTGAAATACAAGTATCAACRTTTAATTAAAAATAAATTCAAATATTCCAAATGCATATATTTTTTTTTAATGTTAATGTTTTTTTCTGTAAATTTAACAGAAGCAAATACTCGGTTGTGTACCTATGGAAGTTWACTAACAAAACAATTAATGAATTATATTTATACGTTTAGACCAATAAACATTGGTGTATTACTGTAAACGGTGCAAAAAAATTCAGAATAGTAGCATTAGAAAACTCTAAATAATATTTGAACTATGCTTTTTACATTTATTTATTTATTTTATAATTTGAATACAATTAGGTAWTACATTTTAGATTTAAGTAGAAAATATACATTAAACAAATTGTATATTTTTCTGTTATTCAGCATACTGTAAAATAATAAATGATAGACTAAAAATTGAGGTCCTTGAAAATTCCACTTGTAATCTTATTCTATAACTTTTCTAAAATACTAAATTTTTCAAGTCAAAAATTCAWTGTAATTTTTGATAAAATAAACACTGCTAATTGATTCGAGATACTATTATAAATTGTATTGTGTATTATATACAATTTTAGGCATAATTACAAAACCGAACAAACGGTGAACATAGAAACATGCATTATTGTATCAAATTTAATATATATTATTGAAAGTAATATCTTACAGGTGAATATCGGTCACGATGTTTATTGTTGTGCCGTCAGTATATTAATGTATTTAAATATATTAATTATTGTGTTCAATGTTCATTACCTACGTATTTTATGCACACCGTGTTCCTATTTCATTGAATAATCTGAATTTTACATTTTTAAAAACAGTAATACAGTAAATGACGATCAAATGAAACCCAGATCGTTGAGATTCACATGGAGTATGAAAACGACGTCTACAAGAGACCCAAACGAGATAATGGCCGAAATAAGAGAGGTGAGTTGTCTGCTCATAAAGTGTGGTTTACAGAAGACCTTGTAGAAAACCTTTGAATTTTCCCCARTATCGATTTTAAAATAAATCAAAATGTATATCGATGTTATACATCAATATAACYCAAGTCTATAGCCATCCARAAGGGAATATCTGTCTAAATTTCCTTAATTACCAATTGCCAGTACGTAATTGAATATACTAATTATGCAATCGGGTTAAATCCGCTCTGGACTTGTTGGCTCCGAGGTCTGAATAAAAAAATATTTTAAATCCTAGTTWACGCAATTTTCGCTGTGTGCGCGGCCACCTGAGTACGTGGAAAAAATTAAAAGCCACCCGAATTTGCGGTGTTGACGGCCGGCCCTGGTAGGTATGTGTTATAAAATCGAAATCCGAGTTATCGTCCATCGATAAGCTTATGTAAACCTCGACAATTATTAAAATCTATTAACGTTTTAAAGCCCCTATCACCGTGTTTCGCGTTTAGAATTTTCTTGTTACCCTCCAAATTAAACAATACTGTTTAGGTAAAACTTGTCATTGACATCCATGACTGTGAACTAGTTGGAAAATCGAGACATTATAATAGTGCTTTAAGCTATGAATGTTTATTATTTACCTATAACCTATCTCTGTACGTGCAACTACCTTTTACGCCGACTGCGATATTAGTAATGTTTTCACTAGGTAACTGCTTAGCATTATTACTACAACGTCTGTCATGTTATGTCCAAAAATTGAGCTCGTCCCAACTGGACGTTTTGTGAATGATACCATAATAACGACAATCAGAATACTGATCTACAATGTATACGACAGACCACCACTTAGGTTCACAAATCACCCGGTGGTGGATTTTAGGGTTCAAAAGAGTCGGTTAATTCATAAGACGACCGCCGTACAAAATGTATATCAGCAACATACTTACTAAAATGTTGTATTTCCTAACAATGGTAAATAATATTGCCGCTAAAAATATATATTTTTTTTGTGATAAAAATGTTCAAATAATTTAACAAATAACCTTCGTATTCGTATTAGCCGTTAGGAGAGGAGCCCCGTCAGGATTTGTCAACTAAACGTCCGTTAAATCCACCACTGACCATTTAACTGACTCGATTTTCCTGTCGCAGGTTGGGAGGGACCATCATATTTTCWATAAAAAATCTCTACACCGGTTTTGTTTTCATTCCGTTGTCTCTAGGTGTAGACTCTGTCCTGCTTTACTCGTCTTCGTATCCCCAAAAACTAACAACATCACGAACGTGACGCGATTTCCGACGATTAACCGTTTTTTTTTTT